CCTTTCCGCTATCATCTGCCGGCAACAAGTGGATCGTAGTAGCCACTGACTATTTGACAAAGTACGCCGAAACAAAGGCACTACAACGCGCTACGGCTTCCGACGTCACCCAATTCTTTATAGACTAGATTGTTTTTCGACATGGCGACCCGTCGTGCGTAATCACAGACAGAGGAACAGCGTTCACGGCCCAGCTCATTCATGACGTATTCAAGCTCAGCTACACGAGCCATCGCAAGACCACGGCATATCATCCGCAGAGCAATGGCTTGACAGAGCGACTCAACAAGACCATTGCTGACATGTTATCTATGTATGTAGATGTCCAGCATAAGACCTGGGACCAGGTGCTACCGTACGTCACATTCGCGTACAATACTGCTGTCCAGGAAACTACGCGGTTCACGCCTTTCCGTCTTGTCTATGGACGTGAGGTCCAGACCATGCTGGATGCGATGCTTTCATACAATTGCGATGCTTTGATCACTCATGATGCTGTGCAGCTTACCCAGTACGCCCAAGAAGCACGCCAGTTAGCACGCCTACACATTACGCACCAGCAGAGTACAGACGCATGCCGCTACAACGCTCGCCATCAACAAGTTGAATACCATCCAGGCGATCAAGTTTGAGTGTGGACTCCAGTCCGATGCCAGGGATTGTCAGAAAAACTGCTCAGTCGCCACTTCGGACCACACAAAGCCTTGCGACGCGTGAGCGATGTGAACTTGAGGTAGTCTCTGACGGCGCCTTCTCGCCACGAAGGCGAAGGCACTCCTCGGAGATTGTTCACGTGGTGCGCCTGAAGCCGTACTTCCCGCGGTAGTGCGACTGCGCATGAACCAGATCGCTGTTTTTGTGTATGGACATATTTTTTGTTGGTTCGTCCCGACTTTGCCTTTGTACTTTCCGAGCATCAGAGTGATGCCTTTTTTTTTTCTCAGAGGGGGAATAGTGCCACTTGGCCGCTAGTTACGGCGAGCGCAAGCCATGGCTGCCCGCGAGAATGGAAGACGATGTTCTGGGGCAGCGCGTGCTCTGGCTAGTTGTTTATTATTGAAGCAGCCATCTTGCCAGTTTTCGGTGCGTCTCCCTGCCGGCTCAGTTCTTCCTAGTTGAAGACCTTTTGTAGCACGTGACAATATTATTCCTTTTTTTAATACGATGTGCAGGATGCTAAGAAATATGCTTGAATGCATATATAGGAACGCCAACCTATGCGGAGTGAGGTGGCTCATGAAAAGAGGCAACACAAGATGAAATAGCGAAGTTGAATAGACACTTCATTTATAGAGGGATTATTCACATCATGGGCATCCATTTATATTGAAATACCTGGGGGATCTTATTGCTAAAAAAATAGAGAGAAAAGTGTAGAAGTTCACTTGTTTTACGGAAAACCAAGCAATGCTTCACCACATGGCACGAGCAACGAAATAGCACTTTGGTTCTGATTTTCTTTGCCTATATGCATAAAAACATCTTGTACAACAATGAATCTTTTATACTGTTTTTAGGTCATTTATCTTCAAAATGTATATTCTGAATTTTATTTGTTTTGAATATTTTAGTATATATAGTGTTTTTTTCGCTGTTTACCATTTGGCAACTGAAAAAACACACTTCTCACATTTTGTTCATCCCAAAATCTTTGCATTGCTCTACAACATATGTTTTTTAGAAAGAGCATTTGATTTTGCAAAACTCGGCATGCTACAATGGGTGTTAGAGTACTTTTCTAACTGACAAAAATGATATTCTAGAGACATATGAAAAATAATAATTTTCATGCAGTAACAAAAGTGCTAAGAGGAATGCAAGTACAGCATTGGCAAGCCGTAGCGTGCCATGTTCATACAAGTATTTGGCAAGTTTCTTTTTCCTTCCTTGCAAAAAGAAAAGGGAAGGGGTGGGGGAGGGAGAAAAAGAAAACATCTTGGCCCAAATTTTTTTGAAACCAAGTTATGTGATAGGTGCGCCAATCATGCCAAACTGCGCTGAAAGACCAATCCTGCCACATCCTGCTACATTTCTACTATTCTGTTACAAACGGGGCTTTTTTATTTTTCGAAAACGCAACTACAATCTCTCATAGTCGAAGCGCTCTAGCATGCATCTATCTTCACGTGCACACACCACCCTACCGTGCCTGTGAGTATGCCAATATAAAAGGAAATGTGCACGCTTGTGCAATGCTGATCGGATTACCTTTCTATCACGTCATAATCTACTTATATAACGCAATTCCCCAAAGGAACGCATATGCAGCATATAAGCAAAACACCATTCTTCAGAGTCTGCAAATGTGCAAGATTTGTTGGACCGGCAGCTGCAGAATTCAGAGTTAACGTTTGCGGGGCTGCTGTGCCGACAAAATGAACACTGAAAAAGAAATAGTACTGTTGTAGAAAGCTGCCGACTAACTTGTCAAAGCTTCTCGTGCCAAAGCTTCAAAGCATTCAAACTTTCTTGTTTATGCGCCGAATTTCCCCGCATAACGGCAAATGAATTTCCTCTTGCTGTAGGCATGGTGTCCGAAGCATTGGCAACCACACAAATTATGGTGAACCAGAACTCGAATGTTGTACATGCACCATGCACGCCCTCATTTTCGTTAATGATGCGAGTCTCTGCATTCATAATCGGAAAGTTGCCTATTTATTTCTACCTACCCCTTTCAAAATGTGACCACTGCAAAGTGTTTCATTGACTCGCCACCAAACCACTCATTCGCGGCTGCGATCGATAAGGTGGTTATGCCACAGAATACATGCACTGTTACGCGGTTAGCTCTCGTTAGGTGTAGCCTGCGGACTTGCAAGTGAATTGACAAGCCGCCCAGGAAAGTTTGCCCTAGAAATAAGTAGGTGCCACCAAAATAGCAGTCATGAGCTCAACCGAAAGTAGCACACGTGGAACCAAGTTTGGGTACTGGTCCGTGAGAAGAGCTGCGACAACTAAAGTCTGCCTAGCTTGCAAGTCTGCCTGCTGGTGGGAAAGGCGAGAGCCTGCATCCCGAAGCCTTTTCATTTGCGGAACAGTGCCTTCACTGACAATTGAATTTAACTCGCACGTGCAATATTGCACTATATAATGGTGCAACTATTTCTTGATGCAGATCATGCATGTGGCTGACCGATTTGCACAAAGCACGCGTATGGAACATGCGGCAAGTGGCCCGAGCAAAGGCTTTTCTGACGCCTAGGCTACCCGTGCTAGTTCCGCGTGCCCGCGAAGCATTTTTTTTCAAGAGTCGAGATAGGCAGAACGTCCGGTGACTGGTTGCTTTTCACAGCTATGGTGGCTAAAGAGGGCCATATCACTGTTGTGCAAGCAGCTCACCACCTGGGCTTACTCCCACCCAACTGCATATGTGCCAAGAAGCAGCCGCCACTGCAAATGCACACCCACCAACGGAGACCGTTCGCACAGTCACCGCGCTAAGTTTGCCTGCCATAGCACGAGCGGAGTACTAGTGACCACAGGCCCACTCCACTTTTGCACATTGTTTGTGGCACTGAAGTTTGGACATTCTCACATAGTTTGTGACATGCTGTGGTTCGACTTTGTCTATGCCAAGAAAAAACCTAGCATTAGCCAAGAGGCCATGTTAAGCACCTAAAGTCAACCAGCTTCGCCGTTATTTAAGCTTTATATAGCTAATCTTCTTCCTTTTAATTTATTTCTTCTTTTTTTCCACCCACCGCTCCTTGTTAGTTTGTTCCGCATCCCCTTCTTTCTAGAACCTTTGTCGCTGTCTCTCCCCTTCCGGCGAGACTCTGTTGAGAAGCGCAGTGATTACCTTGCTTATATGAGCCACATTACAACCAGTCTTTCATCTTGGGGGCTGCACAATAAGCGATATGCATATACATAGATTTTATGGGATTATAAATGGTAGTAAAACTACGCTGCTTTATAGCGGATCCTGCACTATACGCAGTTATGCTTGGAGTGCATGGAATCTTGTGACTTGGCAACGACCCTTCGACGTCTCCAACAGCCTTATTCAGTGCTTTACTTTACGCTCTTGGTCGCTTGTAAAGTATTTTTTTTTCTTGCTCTGAAATGCATTTTTAGTGGCTCCAAAAAACTTTTTTTTTCTGAAGTATGCTTTTAGCTGTTTACTCCAAAAGGTGCCTTTGGCTGCTCTGAAAACCTGCTCCAAAATGGCCTCAGCCAATCACATCAATGGAAACCCTTGTGCACAAGTTTACATACTCTCCTCGTCTGGGATGCTTGGGCAATTATTGCCATTGTTGGCAACTAGTGCCGGCGAAATAGGCCATGGTTTGTCATGAGTTTGTTATCTAGTCTTGATGGCAGCAAATACAGTAGGGCCAGTGAGGTTCTTAGGGAGAACAAGTGTGGATTGTGCAAGTACTGTAGCCGTTAGTCTGCCTGACGGTCTCTGGTATCGTTTCACACCACAGCTGTCCTCACACGATGCAAATGCTGCATCTAAACTTCATGTATAGGCCATCATCACCACACTGTGCGAATAACTGCTACTGAAAAAAATGCAACAATATTTTTTGCTTATATTGAAAGTGAGCATTACTGTGCATGTCACAGCTTAAAGTTTTGTCTAAGGAGATATAGCTGCATAGACATAGCTGTATGAATACACATTCATAGAGAATGACACAAGTGGAGAGAGAAATGGGGAGGGGTGTTAGACTTATTTCTATCTACTGAAAAATTACTGGTACAGAACATTATGTTTGACCTGTGTGTATCGTGTAACCGAATTGTGAACAGAAGAAAGTTTTGCGTGTAACATAGTTGCTTTCTGTTGCGTGGTGTCAGTACACTGATTATGCTTGTGTACAAGTTCACCGAGACTTATAATTGTGCATGACTACATTGCAGCATGCTTCAATCTGGTTGTCGCGTCTTGTGTATTTTTTAAGTGCTCAGAGAACTTTGCGTGAATAAAGGTTCTTGTGTGTGCAAAACATCATAACACTGTTTTTCTCTCTTTCTTGTGTGCCACATAGGTGCGTCAAATCCTACAGAACACTGTGATTGTCCTCCTTGAACCTGAGCTGACCACCACGTGGCAGCTGCCAGTTCAGACAACAAATTCAGTTGGAACCACCCAGGGACAGTCACCTGTGCAAGGACACTGTCTCAGCCAAGACAGTATTATGTGTGGAATAGTGGATGCTCTATGACTAATATTGCACTTGCTGCGGTGGACACAGAACACACGAGACAAAATGCTTGGATATTCAAAGCTTCTTGTTGAGCACTTCGTGCACTACAGTATCGTATACATGCTGCCGATGACATAACACATGCAAGAGATATTGCGTATTCATGCAGTTTTTATTATTGCAAGCTGGATCATGTATAGAGGTATTGTCCATGTTTATTATGAACACAAGAAGGCAGGGGATTTAATAAGTATACATCTGTAACTACTTGATGCTGCTCTTGACAAAGTTGCGCTGATGGAGTGCTTAAAAAACTTGGTCGACAAGTTATAGGAATACATTTATTTTTTCCTGTTTTAGTTTTTCATTATAGGCTATATCACCTGAACAAAGAATATGTGTAGCAGTTGAAACAGTGCTATGATCCCAGCTGTGGCAGTAGAATTTCGATGGAGGCAGGATGGTAGAGGCCTGTGTACTGCACAAAGTCAGTGCATGTTAAAAAACTCTAGATGGTCGAAATTTTTGGAGCCTTTCACTCTGGCTTCTGATATATTCTTATTGTAGTCTTGAGGTGTAAAACCTCAAATATTATTATTATTATTCAGTGATGTAAGTGCTACTCCAATTCCTCAAAACTGCTCTAAAAAAGAAATGCTGCTCCATGCTGGTCCAAAGTGCAATATTTACTAGTAGCTGCTACAAACCTGATTCAAAATAGTGTTGGCAAACTAAAAAGAATGATGTTGAACCATGGCATCATCCCGTGAGCATAAGCAAAACCAAAAGCAAGCTGTACACACTATCATGCTAGAATGCTACTCAGTGGCGTAAAGCCAGAAAAATCTCAAGGGGTGAGACATATCAGGCCATGGTGTCAAATTCATATTTTCAATATGGGTAGTATTTTTATTTATATAGAAATTAATTTATGCTTTCAAATAAACTTAAAAAAACGAGCATGGGGTTCGAGCTCGAGCAATTGCATTGTATTGTTCTATTCAGTCTCTTTTTTTCTGCCTTTTTTTTTCTATTTACATAGTTCACTCAGCTGAGGGGCATTTACCAAAAGTACCCAGTAAAAGATAAAACGCCTTTTAGAAAGGTGATTGTGCTATACTTAACTGATAACTCAATTTTATCATGTGCTAAACTAAATCTCAAGTGGGACACTTGCAAGGTGTGCCCTCAACTGCCTGAACACCACAAAAGTCCAGACTTTCTTGACCCCCACACCCCCATTCATGATATACGCCAACTATGCTGCTTATATATACTAGCTGCATACTAGCATATGACATGTTTAATAATAAGTATAAATATTTATTAGATGCTTAAGTGATGTCTTAGACTTGAGGAGTCATTGGGAACATGCATTTTCTCCGAAAACACCAACAGCAATCCTAAGCTATAGCATATTTTTCTGCTCCAAAGACACTTGAGCCTGCTCCAAAGCACAATTTTTTCTGCTCTAGAATCTGCTCTAAACAGCAAAATGCCACTTTCATCACTGAAGTATTATTGAAATGATGCTATAACACGAGTAAAGGTAAGACAATGGTTTGTAAAGCACATAAAATGTTTTGCAGAGTACTATACACATTCTGTGCCCAGTACACAGTAAATTTCATACGATTGAGATCTTCTGCATCGCCACTGGAGGGAAGGAGAAAAAAATAAAAATTGAAGCTAAAGTTAATATGCATATGATTCGATCAATTTTTTTATGTGTATACTCCTACCAATATGACAATCCTATCAATGTGACTACGCTGTAGCATTTTCTTGTGTGTTAGCAGAGGGCCCACATGTATATAGATTACTTTCTTGTGTGATGGGTTTTATATAAAATGAAAACATGACTGAAGGTTCAACTCTTATTTTTATCCAGTTGTAAACAACAGGTGTGGATATGCAGGTGGCTTGCACAATGTGTGCCTTGCCTCAATAGTTTTGACACTTTCAAGCCCATGTGCCTTGCTTTGCGATTGGAGCAGTAAACAGGTACTGCTGAAGGGGCAGCACAATATTTTTTGCAGCTGCAGCAGCTGCTGACTACCAGTCAGCTGTCTTTGCAGGAAAAAAACTGCCTAGTGGAAGGATGTAGTCAACAGAATAGACGTTCAAGATGAAGCAGGCAGTGTTTGTCACAAGAAACTGTGTCTGTGATGCTCTTTTGCAGCAAAAGCTTGGGATGTTGGTTTTGTGCATTTGGTGGAGGTACCAACTCAGACATACCAATGCTTGTCAAAGACCCATTCCATTTTAACAGTCACTGGTGTGTGGGCAACCACCTCAGATTTTGTTTTTTAAGGGCTTTTTTCTTCTTTTTTCAGACCACTTTCACAAAAACCTAGGGGAAGAAATTATCATTGAAATGATGCATGTTTAAAGTTATCTAACATGTGTGAAGCATCAAGTCACAAAAAAGTTCATTTTCAGTAGAGCAACCGAAATGTGTTCACTGTTCTCTTTAAAATATCGGGCAAATATGGAAGGGAAATGTTTTTGTGTAGTCAATTTTTTTAAATTTCAAGACAAAATTTCCTTATGACAAAGAAAACACAAGCAGTTTTCCTTCATCAGTCCTGATTTTTTTCCTCTGTAGTTTTTTTACTTTTGTTGTTTCGTAGCTTTACCTTGTAACAAAGATTACATTTTTTCGTGGTTTGGGGAGGCTCGAGGTTTTTTTAGGGCTTTTGAATCGCGCCGCTGATAGATATTTTAGGAGCAATTTTGTAGGTAGCTGTTGTAATCGGAGCAGGGGTTTACGTCATCATGTTAGTAGAAACGATTTCTCTGTGATGATGCAATAAGATATATTTTCTTACGCATACGTATGGTATATGAGCATGGGCGATGTGGGGTGCCTAAACACGCACGGCCATTTTTCTTGTGGCACATGCGCAAGCGCTTTGACAAAGGCTGAGGGGTTTGTGCACGCGGGCAGTGCATGTGTTGTGTCAGCCTATCTGTTTTGGAGAAAGAAACGGTTGGAAGTCTGCGCTTTTTCTCAGCTCTGTTGTATTTTTTTTTCGTTTACGCAGTATGGTACACGTTCAGACAACACTAGAAGCTGTGGGCATGGTTGTGGGTTAGCTCGGCAGATAAGACAGAATATTTAGGTTCACAGTCACGTGGACAGCGGAACAATTGAGCTGTTCTTCACGGCCATAAGAGCACGACTGCCTCGAGCACCCTGCTTATCTTTGCGAAAAAAAAAATTCCGGAGTTTGGTAATTCATATTCATATATTCATAATTCATAATTCATATATCCACTGTCTAACTAACTAATCATCATCATCATCAGCCTGACTACGTCCACTGCAGGACAAAGGCCTCTCCCATGTTCCGCCAGTTAACCCGGTCCTGTGCTTGCTGCTGCCAATTTATACCCGCAAACTTCTTAATCTCATCTGCCCACCTAACCTTCTGTCTCCCCCTAACCCGCTTTCCTTCTCTGGGAATCCAGTTAGTTACCCTTAACGACCAGCGGTTATCCTGTCTACGCGCTACATGCCCGGCCCATGTCCATTTCTTCTTGATTTCAGCTATGATATCCTTAACCCCCGTTTGTTCCCTAATCCACTCTGCTCTCTTCTTGTCTCCTAAGGTTACACCTACCATTTTTCTTTCCATTGCTCGCTGCGTCGTCCTCAATTTAAGCTGAACCCTCTTTGTAAGTCTCCAGGTTTCTGCTCCGTAGCTAAGTACCGGCAAGATACAGCTGTTATATACCTTTCTCTTGAGGGATAGTGGCAATCTACTTGTCATAATTTGAGAGTGCTTGCCAAATGTGCTCCAGCCCATTCTTATTCTTCTAGTTACTTCAATCTCGTGGTTCGGCTCCGCGGTTATTACCTGTCCTAAGTAGACATAGTCTTTTACAACTTGAAGTGCACTATTACCTATCTCGAAGCGCGGCTCTTTCCCGAGGTTGTTACATTATTTTCGTTTTCTGCAGATTCATTTTAAGACCTACCTTTCTGCTCTCCTTGTCTTACTCCGTAATCATAAGTTGCAATTCGTCCCCTGAGTTACTCAGCAATGCAATGTCATCGGCGAAGCGTAGGTTACTAAGGTACTCTCCATTAACTCTTATCCCTAACTGTTCCCATTCTAGGCTTCTGAAAACCTCCTGTAAACACGCGGTAAATAGCATTGGGGAGATTGTGTCCCCCTGCCTTACACCCTTCTTGATTGGTATTCTGTTGCTTTCTTTATGAAGCACTATGGTAGCAGTTGATCCCCTGTAGATTTCTTCCAGAATGTTTATATATACTTCATCGACGCCCTGATTCCGCAGTGTCTGCATGACGGCCAATATTTCTACTGAATCAAACGCCTTCTCGTAATCTATGAAGGTTATGTATAGTGGTTGGTTATATTCTGAGCATTTCTCTATTACCTGATTGATAGAATGAATGTGGTCGATTGTTGAGTAGCCTGTTTGAAATCCTGCTTGTTCCTTTGGTTGATTGAATTCTAATGTTTTCTTTACTCTGTTAGCAATTACTTTTGTAAATAGCTTGTATACTACAGAGAGCAAGCTAATCGGCCTGTAATTCTTCGAGTCCTTGTCATCTCCTTTCTTATCTATTAAGATGATGTTAGCGTTTTTCCAAGACTCTGGTACTCTTCCCGCCAGGAGACACCTCGTAAACAGGGTGGCTAGTTTTTCTAACACAATCTGTCCTCCATCTTTAAGCAGATCTGATGTTACCTGATCCTCACCAGCAGCTTTGCCTCTTTGCATGCTCTCCAAAGCTTTTCTGACTTCTATCATTACTGGTAGGGTGTCATCTGGGTTACTGCTAGTTCTTATAGTATTAAGGTCGTGGTTGTCTGGGCTACTGTACAGATCTCTGTAAAACTCCTCCGCTATTTTAACTATCCTATCCATATTGGTAGTTATTTGGCCCTCTTTGTCCCTTAGTGCATACATCCGGCTTTTGCCTATCCCAAGTTTCCTCTTCACTGCTTTGACGCTTCCTCCGTTTTTCAGAGCGTGTTCAATTCTCTCCATGTTATACCTTCTTACATCGCATACCTTACGTCTATTAATCAACTTCGAAAGCTCTGCCAGTTCTATTTTGTCTGTTGTACTTGACACTTTCATAATTTGACGCTTCTTAATTAGGTTCTTCGTTTCCTGGGAAAACTTGCCAGTGCCCTGTCTAACTACCCTTCCTCCAACTTCCACTGCACACTCCGTAATGATACACGTCAGATTATCATTCATTTTATAACTCCTTTACCCTTCTTCAAACAGCTGAGATTTTTACGCTCAACATTGCAAGAACAACCCAACAACCCTGGCTATTCACAACCTGGGCCAGCAGACACCATGCTGTCAACCAGGTTGAAGTGAGGGCTCAGCAGAACCGTGTCAATGTTGCCGGACAGTGGGTCAGTGTCCTTGACACCAGCTGAGCCCTTCTCCTCTGACACACTGGTGCCCGAGTGCTCGTTCCGGGTAACATCGTCGAGCGCTGTCGTCAAACGTTCATACAAGGACGGTTCACGTCATCCTGGGATGTGGCACACATCCACCGTACACCACAACAGTGACAAGCACAGCCATCTATGGCATCACGTAAGCAAGGCCATTTATACTCGGGGACAACTTTCTGTGGAAATGAAAAGAAAGCTACGGGTTTGGAGATACAGCACATGTAGTCCTCCGCAGAGAAGTCCAGCTCGACGCGCTTTTCGAATACAGTCCGTGTTCAAATATTAACACTGCATGTAATTTGCTACGTCAGTTTACACAGCTATTTGTGAGTGAAATTCGACACAGGCTCCTTTGGCGAGTCGTCGGAATAGCTGGAGAGTGACAAGCACTCGCCTGAAAATGACACCATTTCGACTGCGAGGTGCACCTGAAACGTACGAAGTTTTCAGACGTGCAAAAATGCAAAGTGGAACTTCATTAACAACTGTTAATATCTTCTTTGCTCTTACAGCATCTCTTCATCAACAGCATACCATAAAAAATAATGTGTTTTCATTATCTTCACACAGAAAACACAGATGCACTTGTGGGACTATATTCTTCAGCGGTGGCACACGCTCACTTTGGTTCCGTAGACTTCATTTCCACAGAACGTTGTCCCATAGCACAGAATATTCTCCTAGGGTGCCGCCATCTGGGGCTTATATTAGGTCTATGTTTTCTTGCTTTTGAATATAGTGATGCGAATGAATAAGGCTATCAAATATTGTGTGCACCAACCCAACCGTTTTCATGGGTATACGTTTACCGTAACACTATTCGTTTCCTTGTTAAAACACCAAGCTCAACATGGTGGCACTGAAACCCCTCCATAAAATAGTCTAAATTATCAAAGAGCAAGGGGGTGGGAATGAAAAGAGATGTAGAGAAGGTAAAGCACAGCACAGCTATGCATAGTGAAAGCTTGTCAACTTGAAATCAAGGGGGGCTATGAAATTGTCCGAATTAAGTGGAGTTCGAGTTAGCGTGCAGGCACCTGAATGAACAGAAATCGCACCACAATGCATGGTTAGAACCCGAAAAAGAGACCTCTAGACATGTTATGGCTAATTAGGTGCCACTACATGTCAATGTTAGTTGATTTTGTCAATTAAGTTTGTGGAGCTCCAACAGCAAACAGAATAAGTTCAACGGTCAGTGATTTACCAGAAACAAGCACCAACGTGCATTCTTGACAGCAGTGAGCCTTAATGTCGAAACATATGATGCTATTTATGCTCCAAAACGTGCCTAGTTACATGGTTGAGTCAATGCCGTCGAAATGAGAATCGATCGGTAATTCCCCTTTGCTTGCATTTTTTTCGTCGCGACTCCGGGAGCATCAAATGCAGCTTACCCAAGATGCACCAATGCAGCCTCCGAATTCTCATCAGCTAAGAAATGCTGATGTTTTGCATTTTTAGTAAATTTGGTTTGGTTTAGCAAACCATTGTGTGCGATTGTCAAGGGCTAACTTCTGAAAGGAGCAATGAAAACCAGGGGCTCCCAGTTTGAATCA